GAGTCTGTAGTGTGGAACACCACTGAGAGCACTGGGACTAAGCAGAAAGCCAGAGGTCGGAACTGTAGCTAAAAGGCGTGTAGTGTTGCGCCCTCCATACACACCCACTGAGTTACTGCTTGTTACCCAGCTTTTATAAACTCGTTTGATTTAAACTGAAATGAATCTAGTTCCATCCTGAAGTGTTCAAATATACTCTGGATCTTAATAGTAGATTGAGTTGAGTAATGAGAGAAAGGCATATCTACCGATACGTTAAAAACGGAAAAGCAAAAATTGCTTAGGAATGTTCTGTTTTAGCTTTGGGGCAGGGGGGTTGTGCACATCCAATATGAACTATGCATTTTTCAATGTCTCCGAAATATTTTTATATGATTTTTTTTTAACGTAGCCTAATCATTCTGACTCCTTGCAGGCAGAAAGATTTCGGAAGCAGACCCCGACCAGAGCGCTGTGTGTGCTGGCCTCCATCGAAGTGTTGTATTTGTGGAAAGCCCTTCCCAACTGCTCCTTCCCCAACCTCCAGAGGATGAGTCAGGGTGAGAAATAAAACTATACACAGCAGCTTGTTCCTTCAGTGTCTTCCTGATATTGTCTGATTCAGAGAGTACACAGCTGTCATGCTTGGACAGACAGTGTAGTGATTCAGAAAATTCAGTGGCTTAGCTGGTAGGTCTAGAAGCCCTGGAAAGGACAGGCCTGCGTTGCTAGCAGCGTGTGGTGATGCACGCTGATTCAGTGGTGCTAATCCTGGAGTAATCTCTCCGCAGATTACTTTTGCCTGTCCTTGGACTTCACACGAGCGGAATCAGAGTGTGTGTCCTTTTTAGCGCGTGGCTTCATTTGTCCAGCATCGTGTCTGGGAGGTGGACCCACGTTGTGGCCTGTTCAGTAGAGCGTTCCTTTCGCCTGCGGCGGTAGGTGTGCCGTCGTGTGGCGACACCTGTACCACAGTTTGTTCATTCTCTTCCTACTGGACGTGTGGGTTGTCCCCTGGCTTTTAGTGGCCGTGAGCACGGCTGGTGCTCATGTGAAGTGTGCAGCCTGAGCGTGCTGGTCTTGTGTGTGGAGTTACGTTCTGATTTCAGCAGATACTCGGGAGTGTAATTAGAAGCTTACCTTTTTGATTCACATACTAAAAAAACCGTAAGACCCTAAGTTAGGGTAAATATAACCTTCATGGTGTGAAAAGTTCATGGGGATAGTAAACCTTTAGGTAAAATAAAGCTTTATTGGTTTTAAAGAAATACTGTGGCATTTCTTCTAAAGGTGTATGTGCAGACATTTGAATGCCACTTCCTAGGCTGGCAAATTATTTGGTTCGCTCCATCCTGCAACCCAGGGAAGTAGGAAAAAAGCCGACAACACTGTCGTGCCCATTTTGCAGTGAGCAAGCAGGCATTCAGAGCAGTTCGGTGGCTGGTCCAGCTCCCGTGGGGGCGAGTGTCGCTGCGGCTGGCCTGAGGATGGCGCCTGGAGGAGTAGAGCTTCAGGCTGACCTGCAGGCCACTTCGTCTCCCCGGGAGCACGGAGTTATTTAAATCGTGCTGCTAGACGATTAAAAGATGAGACTGTTACGTTGAAATATAAACTACATGCAGTCGTCCCTGGGCATCCCTGGGGGATTGGTTCTAGGACACCCCCCCCCCGCAGGTACCAGACTCTGTGGCTGCTTAAACCCCTTATATAACCTGGAGTAATACTTGCATATACCCTCCAGGCACTTTCCCCTTTACTTTAAATCATCTCTGGATAATTTATAATGGCTGATATGTAAATAGTCGCTGAATGTGCAGCAAATTCAAGTTGTGCTTATTGGAACTTACTGGAATTTTTTTTCCCTGGAGTATTTTCAATCCAGAGTTGGTTGTATCCATGCATGTGGAACCTGCAGATATGGAAAGCCAACTGCACACCCCAAAAGATGGTTTTATAGGGAGTGATTCTCTTTGGAAATGTATTCTTACTCACTTTTTCAGAAGTAATTTGTATTAATAGTTTGGATTTACTCAAAAATAGTGTGTTGGTGACTAGAAAATTTGTCAGATTTCTCTAGTCGTACTGTTTTTGATCAAATACAGTGTTATCCCTTGAATTGTATACTTTTATCATCAGACTCCCCTGCTGATGCCTCTTGCTTATTTTAAAAAAAAACTATCTTAAAGGTCAAAAAGTTTGTCAGTGTTGATATTCCAGAGATCAAAGTCATACAACTCCAAAAGGAGCTGTGCACAGAGGCCCTGCAATTAGAACAGGTTTGTAACCCTCCTAAGGGAACAGCTTGAAAGGAAACAAAATTTTCTTGGATGTACAAGTTCTGCTCTGTTGTTTAAAAAGATAAGCAAAATTTAAAAATCCATCCCTTGTTGATGCAAGTCTGGAATGTCTACCCATGTTTAACTCAAAGGGACAGTAGAGAATTTTAGGTTTTCTTTTTAATGCACAAGTGCCAAATCATGTATTTAAGGATATTAAACACACACATGCAAATATAAAACAGTAATTGGCAGACACAAGAATGGTTGTCACTTAACGTGACTGAATACCCTCTGAACTCCTTTCCAGGCATCAAAATAAGCAATGAAGATGTGGTCTCAGGGAGGGAGGTGGGCTCTGGGGTGAATATGAAATAATTCTCTAGTATTTTTGGTTATAAGTTAGCCCAGTTCAGAGAGATGTTAACTAGGTTAGCTTGTTCCCCAGTGTTAAGCAGTAATGATCCAAATTGATCCAGTCATGTAGAACACAGTGAAGATCTTTGTAGAGAAATAGTTAAGTTACAGGAAAAAAAAAAACCAAACAAACCTGATAGTGGGTGATAGAGGTCCCTTCCCATCAAGCCCGCCCACTCTTGTGCATTCAGCTTACTGGGGTCCCCATCTGTGACGCCCTTCGTCAGAGCCAGTTGGATTCTTGTATCCTTGTCTTGTGGTTTCATTCGTGCCCTTCCCCCATCTACTCGCCCCTCTCCACTCCCTTCTTCCTCTGGGTTTTAAGGATGTTTCTGTGTATCCTCAGCATAGCAGTCTGAGTGATCCTATTAAAATCTAAGTCCTGCTGTGTTGTTTCACTTCTGGGACCTTCTGTGGTCTCATCTTATTCAAAGTAAAAGCCCAGATCCTTTCAGTGGCTACCGTCTGGACACACACCTTAGCCACTGCCTCTCGCCCTCTTCTCCTGCTCACCCGGCTCTAGCCACATTCCTCCTTACTGTTCTTGAACACATCAGGCCTGAGTGGCCTCAGTGCCTTTGCACTTGCCCTTCTCTGCCTGCAAGCTCTTCACGCAAACATCCACGTGGCTCTTTCACTTGTTTTCTTCAGGTCTTTACTCACCTGTCACTTTTTCAGGGGGACTTAAACTGCACTTTTCCGACACTCATGGACCCCTTATCTCCCTTCCTGGATTTATTTTTTACCTTAGCACATAACACTCCTTTAGCACATTTATTTTACCTGTTTGTCTTTTGTATCATCAATCTCCTCGACAAAATGTTCATTTCCTAAGGGCAGAAATTTTTTTCTATTTTGTCACTGCTGGCACATGGCACATGTGCTCAGTGAATACTGAATGAATGAGTAGAATGAATGAATGAATGAGTGCATTCCCCTTTCCTTAACACTGCTGCTGCCGAAGACCTTTTGAGGTCTTTGTATATGGAGGTATTCACAGCTCAGTGTTTTGAGGGCCCTCCTGCTTTTGTAGATTCAGACTCCATTCTTCACATTGACCTCTTTTCAGTTCTACCCAGCTCTTCCAGTATCTGGAACCTTGAGCTGTGTGTGTGTGTGTGTGTGTGTGTGTATGTATACTTCCACATACACATACATACACATATACATGTACATACATCTGTAAGTAATACACACATATATAGACATGTATGTGTATGTGTGTGTATGTTCTATAAAATCATATCAAATCTCAATATTTTTATTGGTTCACAGAAATAATTACCTCTTTTCCTCCTCTATTAACCCCACTGTGTTTCCAATTCCCACCTTTTTATTTCCTTGGAAAACGTCCGTGTTATCCTCCAGCGTGTGCGCTCATCCCCCAGAGAGGATGGCGAGCTTCCTGAAGTGGAGGGCTCAGGCCTGATCCCCTCAGAGACCCGTGCAGTACCTTCTACAACCGCGGGAAGGTGCTCACTGCATGGCTTTTTAAATTAATATGATGCAATTAAAAGATGTTGATAGACTTTACTTTTTAGAGCAGTTTTAGATTCACAGCAAAATTGAGCAGAAGGTACAGAGAGTTAGTTCCCACATACCCCACCCCCCCATCAAGCCTCATGCCTTCCCAGCCGCCAACATCCCCTCCCTCTGTGCTGCATTTGTTAACAACTGATGGGCCAACACTGACGCAGTGTTATCCCCCAAAGTCCATAACTGACATTAGGGTTTCTGCTCTGTTTTGTACGTTCTGTGGGATTTAGCCCATGTGTGTTGACCTGTAGCCACTCTCACAGCATCGTACAGCGTGCTTTCACTGCCCTGACAGCCCCCTGTGCTCTGCCTCCCAGACCTCTGACATCCACCATTGTCTGCCTTTTCCAGAACGTCCTCTAGGTGGAGTCTTCAGCGTGGAGCCTTTTCAGACTGGCTTCTTGGACGTAGTCACAGTAGGGTGCAGTTTTGAGTCGTCTTGGTACTGTGAAGTGTGATCTTTTCTTTTACTTAAGGACATTCACTACTGGATGAGGAAGGGGAAACCTGTTTTTTGGGGGGAGGGCGAGAATCATGAACTGAATAAGTTGCTAAACAATGAAATTCTTAACGATGATACTTAAGGAGTTAAGTCAACGTGTTTCCCTCCTGCCGTTTTCTCGTCTCTCCCAGCTTGCCATGAAGTGGCTGACCCATCCGTCGTTGGGCTGAAGTACCTGCTGCTGGGGGCCATACACAAATGCCTGGGGAACACCAGGGATGCCGTGGAGGTAAACCGTTCGTGTGTAATCGGGGCTCAGCTGAGCTGTGAAAACCTACACGGGTGCTTGTGCATAAGAAAACGAGAAAGCATTCAGCACACCCAGTCTCCCACTGCAGCGTGAGCTTTACCTACTTGATGTGATTAAGGTCATCTTTGCAAATGCTAGAAGTTGATGATTCATATTAGATTTTAATGCAACTTAGGAGTCTTAGAATACCTCTTTACGTATGGGCTGCTTCTCTGGTGCTGGCTGTTTATCAAAGGGGACAGTCTCAGCTGGCGGAGGAGGACACGAGGGGCAGCGTGAGGCCTCCGAGCCCTTAGGTAAACAGGTGGGACCAGGCGTGGCAGCCTGTGTTCACTGTTCCACCCTCGTAACTCCAGATTAGTCGTGCATTACTAAGGTGAGGTCTAGAAGGTTGTTGGGTTAGGGTGTTCTGTGTCCATGTTTATGAAAAAGAACTGTTTGTTTTTTTTCAAATGTAGTTGGAGGGTTTTTTCTGAGTTTCTTGTTTGGTTGGGTTTTTGGACGTGCATCCCAGAGTTATTTTGGTTACTCTTTGAAAGTTCATGCACTGCAGTAGGAGACTGTGGCTTTTAAATCCATGGAGCGTTGCTGTGCGTGTATCATAATTTTTAATTAATTTTCAGCATGGGGTATAATAGTTATTACATAGCTCTAAATAGCTCGGTTTAGATCATATGCTCAAGTGTTAGCACGACACAGTTAAGACACCTATCAGGAGATGGTTCTGACAAAAATATTAAAATAGGATGTTCAGATTTTGAGATGCAGATAAAGGGGTCCCCCACAAAATAATCAGCAGAGGCTGAAAATCAGGCTGACTGATGGGGCCATGTTCCGGGGGAAGCTCAGCAGGCAGGCAGATAAAGGACTTGTAAGATACGCAACAACAGGAAGGAACAGCAACGCGGAAGAGGAGAAACTTGGATACAGAAATGAGTGTCCCTGCCTGCTTCCCGATGACGCGATGAGCACTGAGGAGGAAAAGGAGCTAAAGCAGGGAAGTGAATGGATTCCAGTAACATGTGTGTTATTCTTCCAGTTCTTTCATCGAGCTGTTAAAGATGAGTTGTGCCGTCAGAATAACTTATATGTTCAGCCATATGCTTGCTACGAACTTGGCTGTCTTCTCTTAGACAAACCAGAGGTAAGACCTTCTCTGCTTTATGAAATAACGATCATCAGCAAAAATGTGCAAGTGAGAAGGTGCAAAACGTCCTTCATCTAAAGTCAATTGATGGAATGTGGAGGGTCTTGTTTTATCTTTTCTCCTTGATTGTGCATAGGATGAGTCCAACAAGCTACTAACCCTCTTACTGTGTTTAAGGAGGTAGTCTCTTCTGTGAAATTCGAATTATCCACTTAAATGTAACTTTGGGACAAAAATTCCTCTTAGGGAAAATAATAGCCATTTTTTAGAATTTAGTGTAGTTTCTTCAGAAGAACACAGAACTGCAGTTTGATTCTAGCTCCGCCATTTATTTTTAGTGTATGATTCTGGTTAAGTTACTTGACCACATACCTTTTCCTTGATGTATCAAACAGGATAGAGAATACCCTCCTTGCCAATTTAATAAAGATTGTAGTGAGGTTAAATGAGGATGGTGTGTAGGATAATTTAAAAATTTTTAGGATACCATATAAATTTGACATCACCATTAAGATGTATATTTAAGCACAATGGGGCAATTGTTTTAAAATAGAATTTCAGTAGTGCTGGATTTACTTGGTACCTTCTGTTAGAAGCTCAATTATGTAATATTGGCTGTATAAAGTTCTCATTTTCCATAAATTAAAACCAGCTTTCAAGTGGACTTTTTAAAAGTTGGGCTAAATCAACAAATATCTAGCCTAACCCTTAAATATGTGGCCTGTCTTGCCAAAGATAGGCCTTTAATTGGTTAAGTCTTTTCATTTGAAATTCTAATTTTACCAAAATAGGAAATGCAATTTGTATAAGTTTTGGTAGAAACTCCTAACATATTCTTTACTTTAAGGAAATCTTTACTCTAAATGCAGCCTTAAAATATATACATAAAATATAACCAGACTGGTCTGTTGCTTGAAAAATGAAGTTGATGTCCTCAGTCGGTAATGCCTTCAAAAGAAGAGCTAACTTACTTCAAAGAAACTTAAATTATCATCAATTTTAGGTTGTTTAGTAAGATCTTAAACTAGTATAACTCTTCTAAGTTGTTATCATTTATAGAATAATAGTGAAGAATATGAAAAATTTTTTATCAAGTAATGCCTTAATGTAAACTTAAAAGCTTCGTTATTAAAGATTGAGTCATTAAGCTTGAATGAGCAGTAGACTCCCTTCTGTGTCACTGTGAATGTCCTCCTGTTGTAACGTTTTCTGCTGGAGTACATGTAACTATGGACGTTAAGGGATACTGTGTTTTTCTTGCGCTCACAGACTGTAGGAAGAGGCAGAGCTCTCCTCCTCCAAGCAAAGGTAAGGATGCCTCCTCTGCCCCTTTCTGGTGGCCCCTCTCCCTCTCTCTCGTGTACTCTGGAATCTGAGCTCAAGACATTTTGCGAAATGACTGTCCTGGTTGATAATATTTCTGGAAGGGGAAACTGATAACTAACAGTGAGCAGTTGATTTTTAAGTGAAATTACTAAGACTCTCCCATGAAATTGCTCAACCTGCTTTATAAAAACCCTCCTCGTTTGTGTGGGAAAATAACGGTTGATTTCATAACCATATTCTTGAGTTAAAAAGTTCTAGCAGCAGCTTATATTGAGCCCAACTCAAGACTGCTGTTTCAGAAATAACATGAGGCCAAATTTCCAAAGGCAGCACTAATAACATTCAGTTGCCTTTTTAAAAATGGACACAGGGTTTGACGTTTGGGCAGTAAGAAAAATCAAGGGAATGTGAAGCCTTTATTAGGAGTGTGGGGAACTTTACTTGGAAGCACAGAGCTTGGTGTGGTTAATCCTGTCTTGTTGCAGGCAGCTTCACTCACCGAGTCCATAAATCTCCTTCTCTGGTCTTACAGGAGGATTTCTCCGGCTACGACTTTGAGAACAGATTGCACGTCCGCATCCACGCTGCTCTGGCCTCTCTGAGGGAACTGGTCCCCCAGTGACAGACCTGAAGGACGTCCGTGCTCTGTCCCTCCCCACACAGGTTCTGCACTTTACAGGCAGAGGACACAACTCTTGTGAAGATCAACCACCTGTGCCAGGGACGCGCGTTCTCAGTTAGGCTGACATGTTAACGATCTCCTCTTTTAAACACATAGCTAAACAGTAATAATGATGATGATAATAGTAGTAATAACTAACCACCTGGGGAGAGGGTTAAGTGACCTTGTTCAGACATTTTAGTTTTGTGATTTATTTTTAAAATAAAATTAAGCTAAATATTCAACCTGCGATCTTGTAGGAATGCCTCCCTTAAGCACACTTCTCACTGGGTGACACTCAGAGGTTCTGTGAAATTATTAACAGTATCATGACACAGCATTTATATTGTGTTTTGAAAAAGTAAAAGCGCTTTCTAGTGTTTCACTTGATCCTCAGACTGTTCTGTGAATAACGTAGCACAGATATTATCTCCATTGTCCAGACAATGGAACTCAGGCACGAAAAGGCTAAACTGACTTGTCCCAGCTAATTATCCCTCTTATTCTGGAGTGACGACTAGAATGCAGGTCTCCTGACTGCAGACCGAATACTCTTTCACTGTAAAAAAAAAAAACAAACCCCCAAAAAACCCAAAAGGAAAACAAAACAAAAAAAACCCAAAAAACAAAACAACCGAAAAAAAGTGAGTAACTCAGGATTCCATGTTCTCCTTATTAAAAAACAAATCACTTCTTCAGCTGAAGTTGTGTCATCACAGTATTTATCTCCAGATGTCTACAAGATGTTTCAAGGGACCCTTTTTTCCCTTTAAAAGCCAACCAAGTGGAAACAAATAGAAGATAGTTTTACAACCCAAAGTCTAATTGTTTTGCTAATTTATTAGAAAATATAGTCTCTAGGCTGGATAAATAATGCCTACATTTGAGGTGTTTCCCTTTCTCTGATAAATTGTCTAATTACCAACTTTTGGATGTCTTTTAAGAAATTACTTGAAAGGGTTATCCTCGAATGAACATAGATTTTTTTTTTCTCCTCAAAATACTTGCTGATGAAGGATTTGCTGGGCTGCCTGTTGCCAGGACTTAATAGTTTCTCCCTTAGCTCAGGTTATTGATAGTGTAAACAGAGGTCAGAGTTATTTTTTAATCCTTCATTGCTAATTTTTACTTTCGTCTGATTCACCTCTTTGTTCAGTACTGCACACCTGTGGTTTTGAAGAATTTAAATACCTCACTTAAGAATTTGTCATAACTGTGTAACTCACTCGGCTCAATCTTAAGCTTAGATATTTTTAAAATTTACCTTGTGCTGAAGCGTGTCACCTTGGGGTGATGTTTGTTTACGTATCCTTTTTGCTGAAGTATGATCTCATGTGACATCAATACTTGACTGTTCTTCTCAGAATAAAATGTGGGAGGAGCAGATAGAAAGTTGGCAGCTTTAAGCTACTCGGTCTGGTTTTGAGAGAATGATCATTTCTTCAGAAATGATTGTTCCTCACTGACTTTGGCTAAACTGTCTTCATGTTTTCTCCCTTCCAAAGTGTGTGTTAACATTGCTCTTCTCTCTAGTGTGCGTCCTGCATGGATTTTAGATCCTAGCCAGAGAGGAAAGACTGCTTTTCTACTTTCATGACCGGGGCGCTCCAGAAGCCAAGTGGGTGCCTTCTGAAGAGACAAATTGGCGTCTAAAAATTTCAGATAACCTGGTTTCATCCAGGCTGAAGGGGGAGAATGTTACGAATTTTTAAAATAGGGCTCTTGCCACTTTGTGTCCTCTCGGCCATAGTGTGTGGCAGACTTCTCAGTTATGATTGTGGAGCACTCTGAATCAGGAAGCTCTTGCTCCAGAGTTCATACTAACTTGAATTTGCAGTTCAAATACTGTTCCAGCTGTTTATTATTCAGTATTCAAAGATTACATAAAGCCTTGTTCTTTAGAATTTAAAAAAAGTTCCTGCATTAACTGCTTTAGTATTTTTTTCTTTCTGGAGAGAGATTTCAGGATTTCAAATGTCTGTTCACTTAACTGAATAGCCCACCTTTACAACACCCTCCAATAGGTTTTCTGTACTGGTCAGAGAATAAATGAGTTTATAAACTGGCAGGAAAGCCCTGTGGCTTCTCTGTGTTTACGTGGTGGTACAGCAGGGAGAGGGGACTGTGGACAGTGGTTCTGAGGGCTCTGAAAGAACAAAACCACAGGGTGAGTACACTGTGCTATTAACTAACTGGGATCTGAGTCATTTTTGACTTGAGTAACTCATAACCGTGTCTGGCCTGCGTGCTGCGACCTTATCCAGCCTGTGAACTCCTGTGATTTGCTTGGAAACCTAGTTTGGTGTAAATTGCTCTTCCCCCTTGCTGATGAAGGAAATCATCACATAAGCGGAACTGTTTGCATCTATGTGTGCTTTTTTTTAATGTTGGCATTATGCCTTCTTTTCCTGTTTTGGAGGCCAATGGATCTTCTGATTTGTAAGTGTCAGATATATTTTTGTATTAGATTGTGCCTATGATGAGAGAAATCGCTAATGTATATTTTATGTACTTGGAACACATTTATAATTTGACACACTTTGAGGCATGGTCTAGTAATATTGTAATAGACACCTTTGTGGGTAATGTGTTTAAGATTTTGAGTTCAGTGTCTTTGATTTAGTATATGATAGCTAAGTATTTGAGTAAAGAATTATTTCAGGTGTCACAGAAAATTAGAATATTTATTGTTCTATATTGTGTCAGTCAATTATTTAGAGAATTTGCACTTTTATATTTTTGCCAACGAAAATTGAAGGACAACACGTGTATGATTTTTATAATACACACACATATGTACCTTTGCTGTGTAAACTTTCCTGGTTGCTTCCTTAAGCAAATTATGGTGGAAAGTATTCAAATGTGGCTCTTAGGAAGATACATGCTCACACAGTCATGATGTACTGTTTAGTATTTCTTTTTTTTTTTTTTAGATGCTGTTGGTATATTTTGTAGGAAAAAAAAAGTGCTTATTAAGCCCAGATCATCCCAAGAAGATACAAAGGAAAGGGAGGGGACTTGAAGCCAGGAAGAGGAAATACAGAAAGAGAAAAGGACAGAGGGAGCAAGAGAATGGAAAGCTGGTTCATAAAAGATGTGCCCCTTCTTCAGTTAAAGTGAGCAGAATCACACATGTACGGTGCAGTTGGCTGGTGACAACCAGCAAGGGGCCCGAGCTCTAGCTCCCAGTGGACCAGGGTAGTCGACTAAAGCAACACACTTGTAATTTAGATGAGCTCTGGGTTATAGTTACTTTCTACTCCCACGGCTGGTGGTTCTCAAATTTTTAGCTTTACAGGTAAGCCCTACTGAGATTCTGAGCCAGTAGGTTCTGGGTTGGGCTTAGGAAGGCATTTGTAACAAGCTCCTAGGATCATTCTAGTGCAGCTGGTCTACATTAGAGAGACATCGCCCAAGGTTATCATCTCTTGGTAAGTATTCAGTAAATCTGAGAGAAAAGTCAAACATGTGGCACCGTTATGCTCAGAGAGCGTAGCATGGGGCTGTTGGAAAAAATGCTTCTAACCCGCTGGCTTTCTAAACTAGGAGATTCCTGAGCTGAGTTTTCGAGAAGGATGCAGTCAGGAGAAATGATGTCTTCTTAGAAGAGCGTCTCAGGCCTTGGACCTGATGAGCAAAGGTACAGAGATGCCAAGCAGCGCCTTTGTGTTCAGGCCCAGTCACTAGAGAGTCAAGTGGAACCCAAATGGTAAGATGAGATAGTTACACAGAGGTCACACCAAGAACCTCGGACTTTTGTAGAATGAGGATTTGAAGGGGGAGGGGCAGGGAGCAATGGAGAAGAAAGTAGATTTGCATTTTTGTTAGAGCCCTAGTGACCAAAAAAGATGAACAGAAGAACAAGGAGATTGTAAAAACTATATCAGATCTTTAGGAGTTCCAGGAATCAAAGCAGCAAATAGACAGTGGTTTGAAAATTTCTGGCTAAATGTTCTCACCGTAACAGCTTGCATCTGAGGGACATGTGCAAAACAGTCATTGCAGAATTGTGGAAGGAGTGTAAGCTTGCCTTCTGAGTTAGATATTCGACACAGTGTATAACATCTAATAGGTGTTCACAGTGACCCACCAAGGTTGGTTAGGTGACTTAAGTGTATGTAAATCTCTTTTCACAAGCCACCATAAGTGGGATCTCTAATGTTTGTATTGGGGGTTCTTCGTAGCTCAGTTTCATTATACCTTTGATAGTTAAATGTTATAAATCAGGAATCATGCCAGCTTTGTCTCACTTTTATTTACCAAAGTGAGGCTGGGGTGTGCGCAGTGATGAGGACAAAACATGTACCATCTGCAGGTCTATCATCACAAAGTCTAAAACAGCGTGTCTCCTTTACTTCAAAACGTAATCTTCATGAGAGGAGGGAGCTTGTCTGCTTCATAATGGGCACTTAGTTATTTAATGGATGAATTAATATCCCCAGAAATGCTGTGTGCCTCAGAGATGTAGGCTGGGGCTTCAACATTGCCTGTGACTGCAAAGTGCTCTGGAAGTCTTAATTTCTAAGGTACCAAAAGTTTTGTGAGATACGTACCCTGATGATGGTTAACAGTTGATTTACAGCGATTCTTGTTGCTTTTTAAACATGTGAAAATGGATTTCAATGAAGACTCTTGGAATCTGATCATCATGACTGTGGTGTTATTCAATGCCCAGCACACATACAAGCCTGAATGGGTAGTAAAGAGAGTATTTTAAGTGAGTCAGCATGCCTTTACTTCGGTAAAACGGAGCTGAAGTTACACAGCCTTCGGGGACTTGCAGCCTGCTGCTGCTGCTGGTTTGGTTTGGGGAGGATGTGTTGTGCCTGAGGTATTGCAAGATCTGGAATTACTGAGAAACAGGAGGCTTCAGAATCTATGCTAAATCTTTCTACAGGCCAGTTTCTCAGAAGGAAGAGTACTGTGTTGCATATTGTTCTTTTTGTAGCACTGTGTGTTGTGTACATCGTGGCAGAAATTATTCTTGGAAAAGGTGACTCGAGAGCAAAAGTTTATGGGGGAGGGGCAGGATGAAGAAAGGAGGTGACAGCAAGACAGAGCTGCTCTAAATCTATTTCTCTTTCTTTCCACACTGGCTCTTTAGACTGAGCTATCCAAAGCAGAGAGGCAGTCGCCTTGACCAACTGCACTCCTGGCCGTTTGGAAACGCCAGTTTCCTACGCGCGCGCGCGCGTTCGTATTCTGTTGCAAAAGGCAAAGCAGGCCTCCCTGCTCTGCGGAGTTCCGTCCTTTGTCCGTTTCGGCTCTTCATTGGCAGGGACCGCCGAGGCCCCGCCTCCTCCCGCGGCCTTCAGCGAGAGGGCGGGGCTTTGTGACGTAGGCCTGACTTCCCCCAGGGGTATAAAAGGCTCCGCTGGGAGCGTTAGGCTCTTACAGGAGCCGCCGGCAAGGGGGCAACGAGGAAGCCTGTTAGAGCGTAGCCGGAAAGAAGGTGGGGCGAGTCTGGAGAAAAGCCCCCGCCCGTCCTTGCGGCCCGGAGGCAGTTAGCTCTCGGGGCGCCTCGTGCTGTGGGGTTGGACGGTTTCTCAAGTGCTGGGGAAGGCGGAGGGCCCCGGAGTGGGAGGTCTGCGGGGAGGGGCGGGCCCACACCGGCCCGTGCGGCACAGCCGGCCAGCGCCC